TTAAGAGGAATTTTTTAGGGGTGCCTGGGTGGCTCAGTTGGTTAAGCATCTGCCTTCGGCTCAGGTCATTATCCCAGGATGAGCCCCGCATTGAGCTCCCGCTTCTCCCTCTCTCTCTGCCTGCCACTCTGCCTACTTGTGCTCTCTATCTCTCTGTCAAATAAATACATAAAATCTTTAAAAAAAAAAAAGAGGAATTTTTTAAACCCACTTTAAATACATATATGGAAGACCTCAAGATCAACAGAGAGGTTAAACAGTAACCTCTACCCCACCCCCAACCATCTGTACCAAACACAGAGAAAGAGTGAATATAATACAACCAAAAAACTGTTAAAAGATTATATAGTCAAGCTGAGAGTACACAAGGAAACTCAAGAGCCAAACCAGAACTCAGAGAGACACACATAGCAGGAGCTAACAGGTTCTGGGCTCTGAGGGCAGATCAAGGCCTTTGGGCATGAGATCCAAACTGCTCATGGCAGCTCACTGAGCCATTGAAGATCACCCGTCTATCACCAGCCAGCACTTGAAGGCAACAATACCCACGAAGGCTTTTGGTAGAAAGAGACCCCACAAGAAATCAGAGACCTGGCCCGCCCTGTGAGCAGATGTAAAATCAAATTCATACCAACCAACTAGGTATAGATATCACGAATCAAGAATTGAACACCAAAACATCTAAAGCCTGAGAAACACATGACACTTCAGAGACACAAACATAAAACTGCCCTCTAGGGACATCACCATAGCCAAAGGCAAAGAGATACCCCTAGCAAGATCTCCCCTGAAAGTGGTGGTACAGTCAGAAAGGACAAGCCACACTAGGTCACAAGGGAGAATCAAAGACAAAGCTCTTATAAGAGGCAGAACTCATGCCCCTAGAGTAGGCAGCAATATAAACATTGGAATGAGTCCATAAAAAGAGTAAATGTTCTGGGGTACCTGGGTGGTGCAGTCAATTAAGCATCCAACTTTTGGTTTCAGCTCAGGTCCTAATCTTGGAGTTGTGGGATCGAGCCCTGTGTCAGGCTCTGCGCTCAGCATGGAGTCTGCTTGGGAGTCTCTCTATCCCTCCCCCACCCTCTCAAATAAATAAATAAAATCTTTAAAAAAAAAAAGGTAAATGTTCTTAGAGATCAAGGCACAAAACCCAGAAGGTAAGACTATAATGAACAAAATGAAAGCCTTGAAAAAGACCCAAATATAAATTCTAAAAATGAGAAAAAAAGCTACAAGAATTTCAAAACTTATTAAAGATTATTAAAGATTAAATAACAGCTCAAATTGCATTTTATTTATTCAGAGAGGTCCTACCTCTCTGATGGGTGGCACATGGATTTAATGAATTATATGTATAATACTGCGATCATACAAGTATTTATTAAATAAATGGATAACTCAAAAATATGGAACATTCAGCTAAAAGATTTGGAAACTAAAAGAGAGCACTGAATGAAAAACCAGAAGGCAGAATGTAAAGACAGAAAGTGAACATTATAAAAGATAAAAAGATTTAAAAATATCAAAGAAGTTGTGATACTTGGGAAGACAAGAAAAGTTCAGCATAGAGAAAGAGTTCTCCAAGGGAAAAGTAGATAAAAAAGAGAGCAATTTCAATGGTAAATACTGAATATTTTTCAAAACTTAACAAAAATATGTAATCTCAAATTTAATGAGAATCATAACCTCAAGTTACACATACAAAAATAAATCCTCACCTAGACATAATATGTTAAAATTATAAAACAAAAAAAACCTGAAAGGCTACCAAAAAGTTAGCCTTTTAGTTACAAAAGTTAGCCCAAATTAGTTACAAAGAAAACAACTGCACCAAAGTAACAATTCTCATCAGCAACAATAAAAATCAGAAGAACATCTTCAAACTGCTGATAAAATAACCTAAAAAGCTAAACCCTACCCTGTTAATTTATCTTAAAAAGCATTCAAGAGAGTTTTCAGACTTTGTAACTCACAGACCTTGATGAAGAAACTTATGCAGGAGGTACCCAGGCAGGAGAGGATGTAAGCAACAAAGACAAAACAAACTGGTTTAAAAAAAGAAAAGACCATATCAAAGTAAGTATGGTCTCTTAAAAAATTATGATTATGATGATAATAATCAATTGAAGGAAAATTTCTTTTCATGTCTTAAATCAGAAATGTATCTTACATATCGCAATTGGGAGCATTTTTTTTTAGGGGCACACACACACACACACACACACCACAAATCAGTGTGTCTTAGATCCAGTGTAATAATAAACTGCCTGACAATTTAAACACAAAGTGGAAAGGGGGGGCGCCTGGGTGGCTCAGTCGTTAAGCGTCTGCCTTCGGCTGAGGTCATGATCCCAGGGTCCTGGGATCGAGCCCCACATCGGGCTCCCTGCTCCACGGGAAGCCTACTTCTCCCTCTCCCACTCCCTCTGCTTGTGTTCCCTCTCTCGCTATGTCTCTCTGTCAAATAAATAAAATCTTTAAAAAAAAAAAAAAAAAGTGGAAAGGGGAGTATAGGTTTAATGCATCCTATAACCCCTATGTTTTTCAGGAAGAGAAGTACTGGTTAAGAAGTACTGGTTAAGTTAATTAACACTTTGTGGAATTAAGAAATACTTAATTTTTCTGTAACATGATTAATGTCCAGAAATCAAATTGAAAAGCTTAGGAACAATTAAAGGTATCTGAAAAGAAAAAACTGTTTTGGAAATTTTATCAAGAAATAAGAAAATTAAGAATAAACTTACACAAAACTAATCAGAAAACCTAAATTCAAATACATTAGCAATCACAATAACCATAAAAAAATTAAATTCACCTAATGAATAAAGATTCTCAAATTGGATGCTTTTTAAGAATCAAGCTTTGTAAGTGAATTTTTAAAATGATACAACTAAAGCATAAGGACCTAGAAAGATGGAATAAAGCAACAGAAAAACTATGGCACCAGGCAAATATGGGCCAAAAGGTCAGTCCATAGCACTGACCAGACAGCAACATTGCTACAAACCAGGGAAGCAACAAACTGGGTAGATTCATGAAGGGGACCACAGTGGGCCTAATAAATGAGCTCCTACAGAAGACTTTAGGGAAGAGAAGTACTCTCCAAACTTCTGTTAATTTGATTAATGTAACTAAACATTACATTCATCTATGTGCTTTTTAGAAACCAAGGCAAAAATGGGGAGAGAGCAGAGGGGGACATGACTGGCTACATAGAAATCCTTGTATTATAAAGGGAAAAATTACTTTGTTAAGAAAAAACAGTCTCTTTTTTTTTTTTTTTTTTAAAGATTTTATTTATTTATTTGAGACAGAGAGAATGAGAGAGAGAGAGAGAGCACATGAGAGGGGGGAGGGTCAGAGGGAGAAGCTCCCTGCTCGGCAGGGAGCCCGATGCGGGACTCGATCCAGGGACTCCAGGATCATGACCTGAGCCGAAGGCAGTCGCTCAACCAACTGAGCCACCCAGGCGCCCCAAGAAAAAACAGTCTCTTGACATTCAGTCATAGGATTTTATTACCAAGAGAAATAGGATGACCAAAGATTTCAGCTATAGTTTTACAGAAAGAAGAAAGAAGAATGAATGAATAAATGAATGAATGCAAGAAAGGAAGAAATGAAAAATATTTTTTTAGCTTTTCTTATTTTGACTTTTAACCTTAACCTTCCCTGTGACAAAGGTACTACTCGAGGGAGCCCACGCTTACTGAGTTGAACTTTCACACTCCAGAGGAGAGATTGGCTAGCACATCCCAGCTGGTCTCTCAATGAGCTATTGCCTCACCCAGTTGTTTCTCCACACAGAAGAACAGTAAATTCAAGATTGACTCCATGATGAATACAAACAAGCTGATTATCGCAGAAATAACACAATCCATACACACACTTACCTGCATGCAAAGACTGACTTCCAGGATAAATTTAAGATAACTAGACTGATTTTTTTAAACCTCATACAAATTACACTCCATCATAACCTAAATAACCTAATCTAAGTAATCTAAATACTTTAAAATTTTCATTAGCAGTTCATTTAACAATATACATAAACATTATTACAAATACCTAAGACACTTACAAAGGGAGGGAGAGGAAAGGAAATCATTAATACCTGAAGTCGTAGAAGATTCAGCGTTGCCACAGCCATGCACTCTTTCTCTTGAGGTGGGGGCCAGTCCGCAGTGCCATCCATCCCCTCACTCACTTGCCGCAATAGGAGGTCCAGCTGCTCAAAAGTCATTGAGCAGATGTCTACCACAAATGGGACACGGAGGCCAATGGACCACTCAGAACAAGACGACCAAGCAAAACTCTATGGACGAATCATAAGAACCTAAAATGAATCTACACACTCAGCTCTTGGACTGTTTCACAGGAGAGATTCACCATTATGAATTACAAAGATGCCTTAAATTATTACTTATTCATCCCTCTAACTGTCCCAAATGCACATATATTTTCATGGTTGTCTAGTTCATACACTATCAGTTTCCAATTTTCTTTCTCATTTTAGGACCCAATCTCATTGTACCACAAATAAAAAGTTAAGTTTAAAATCTTTTCACTCTCAAAATTATTGATACACATTAATCAGGCAGTGAGGATCATAATCCACTTGAACAGCTACAAGTAACTGTAAGTAAATAATAAAAGATTAGGTATATTTATCTGTAGAGCAACAACTAAAAAACTACACAAAGAGACAGTAAGTTAAAATGGAATACTAAAAATTATTCAAATAACCCAAAAGAAGTCAGGAAAAGATAAAGGAATAAAAGAGAGCAAGCCAAAAACAATGTTAGAAATAAATCCAACTTATAAATAATTACGTTATATTTAAATGGTCTAACCATACAAACAAAAAGTAGAAGTTGTCAGGATATATGAAAATCAAAACCTAACTATATGGTATCAACAAGAAATCTACCTTAAAGAGAAAGATTAAAAAAGGCTAAGTAAAGGGATAGAAAACGGCTATATTAATATCAGACAAAGCAAACTTCAGAGGAAGGAAATTACTAGGGCTAAAGAGAGACACTATATATGATAAATGGGTCAATTCACCAAGAAGATAGAACAATGTTGAACAATATGCATCTAACTATAAAACACATAGCAGTAAAAACTGATAGAAATAAAAGAAGAAATAGATAAATCCAAAAACATAGTTGAAGATAGCAAAACTACCCTCCTAATAACACAGACCAGAGACAGAAAATCAGTAAAAATGAAAAGAAATGAACAAAACCATCAATGAACTAGAACAAATTGACATTTATAGAACACTCGGCAATAACAGAATACAGTCATATTTAGAATATTTAATCATAAAATAATTATCTAAAAGAATTGAAATCATATTTTCTCTGAACATAATAAAATTAAGCTAGAAATCAACAACAGAAAGTAGACATCAATAAAAACTAGATGAAAATAACTAGAAAAATCTCCAAGTACTTGAAAATTAAACAGGTTTCTACATTCCAATTAAAATGGTAAAATATTGATTCTAAGTAGACTGCAAAGAGTTAAGTATGTATATGATAAATCCTACAGCAACCACTAAAAAAAAAAAACTATATAAAAAAATAAAGTCAAATTCAAAATAAGTGGAATACTAAAAAAAGTTCATATACTCCAAAAGAGGCAGGAAAAGCACAACAGAGGAACAAATAATAGAAAACAAACAAAAGCCAAACAACAAAATAGAAGACCTAAATCTATATATGTCAAAAATTACAGTAAGTATACCAATTAAAAGACAGATTGGCTCAAGAATTTTTTTTAAAAAATGCACCTAAACATGTACCCAAGAAACTCACTCTGTACATAATGAGATAGGCAGGTTAAAAGTAAAAGATGTAAATCTAAAAAAAACATGTATAGGACTTATACACTGAAGATGCTGATAAATGAAATCAAAGAAGATGTAAGTAAATGCTTAGACATACCATTTTCACTGACTGGAAGACTATATATAGCAAAACTGCCAATTCTCCACAAACTGATAAGAGGTTGAACACAATTCCTATTAAAGTCCAAGCAAGATATTTTTGCCAATATAGACAAGACTACTCTAAACATTATATGGTAAGGCAAAGGAACTAGGATATAAACTTCTTATATAGCTACAGTAAACAAGACCTATGATATTGGCAAATTCCCATGAATATATCTTATTTCAATTTAAAAATAATTTTCAAGTAAAAGGATGGAAAAATTACAGTATGCAAACACTAATTAAACGAAAAGTAAAGTACCTACATTAAAATCAGAGAAAAGAGACTTCAGTGCAAAGAACAACAAGGATAAGGGGGAAAACTGCATAATGATAGAAAGGTCAATTCACCAAGATGACAAACCTAAAGGCAAACCTAAATCTGTACACATCTTTAAAAAAAAAAAAAAAAAAAGAGCTTCAAAATATATAAAAAACTGACAGACCCATCCTAAAATTTATATGGAATCTCAAGTGACCCCAAATAAACAAAATAATCTTGAAACAGAGAATAAAATTAGAAGACTCAAAATTCCTAATTCAAAACTTACTACAAAGCTACAGTAATCAAAACAGTATGGTAGTAGCATAAAGTACCAATAAAATACTGGCATACAGACCAATTAAACAGAATGGAGAGCCCAGAAATAAGCTCTTGTCTGTATAGTAATATGATTTTTGACAAGTACCAAGACCATTCAATGGGGAAAGAACAAGCTCTTCTACAAATGGTGCTGGGAAAACTGCAAAACAATCAAATTGGATCCTTACCTTACACCATATACAAAAAGTAACTCAGAATGGATCAAAGACCAAAACATAAAAGCTAAAACTAAAGCTATTAGAAGAAAACATTGGATAAAATCTACATGACAATGGATTTCTTGGATATATATAACACCAGAAGCATAGGCAACATATGAAAAAATAAAGTGGACTTACTCAAAATTAAAACTTGTGTGCATCAAAGGACACTATCAACAGAATGAAAAGACAAGCACAGAATGGGAAAAAAATAGTTGTAAATCATATTACCTGCCACGGGATTAATGTCCACAATATATCAAGAACTCCTCAATAAGGAAAGGAAAAAAAAACACAATTCAAAAGGGGCAAAGGACCTAACAGACATTTCTCCAAAGAAGATATACAAATGGTCAATATGCACATGAAAAGATGCTCAACAGCTTTTCTATGGGAAGTGCAAATCAAAACCACAGTCCAATACCACTTTGCATCCACTAGAATGGCTTCAAACAAACAAACAAAAGCAGAAAATAACCAGTATGAACAAAAATGTGGAGAAATCGAAAGCCTTGTGTCTATCTGGTGGGAATGTAAAAACCATGCAGCTGCTGTGGAAAACAGTTTGACAGTTCTTCAAATTCCCCATAATTACCATATGATCCAGCGATTCTACTTCTAGATATATACTCAAAAACACTGAAAGTAGGGACTCAAATAGACATTTGTACACTAATATTCATAGCAGTATTATTCACAACAGCCAAAAGGTACAAATAACTCATGTGTTCGTCGAAGGAGGAATATATGAACAAAATGTGGGATATACATATAAATGGAATATTATTAATTCTTTAGAAATAATAAAATCCTGAAACATGCTACAAATGGATCAACCTTGAAAACCTTATGTTAAATGAAACAAGCCAGACACAAAAGGTCAAATATTATATGATTCCATTTATAAGAGGTATCTTGAATAGGCAAATTCACAGAAAGTAAATTTGAGGTTACTAGGGACCATGGGGAGGAGAAATGGAGAGTAATTGTTTAATGGATACAGTTTCTGTTTAGGATGATGAAAAAGTTCTGGAGACTGATAGCAGTGATAGTTATACAATCTCATGAACATACTTAATGCCACTGTTCAGTCAACCATAATTTTTTAATGACCAAAAGCATTGATATTAAAAGAAAACTGACAGAACTGAAAAAAGACATGGAGAAATACATAATTATACTTGGATATACTAACACCCTCCCAGAAAGAAACAGAACAAGCAGACAGAAAATCAGCAAGGATGTAGAAAAGAATAATACCATCAACAAACTGGATTTAATTGACATTTATAGAACACTTCACCCAACAACAGCAAAATACATCAACAATAAAATACACAACTCTTTTCAAACAAACACACTGAACATTCACTTAATAAGAGAATATATCCTGAGACCTAAAATAAATCTGAACAAATCTAGAAGAACTAAAATCATATAGTCTGTTCTCTAACCACAATAAAATTAAACTAGAAATCAGTAACAGAATGGTAACAGAACAATCTTCAAACACTTTGAAATTAAATGACACAATAATCCACAGGTCACAAAGCAATTCTCGAGAGAAATTAGAGAGTATTTTGAACTGAACAAAAATGAAAATACATCAGAATGTGTGGGTGCAATTAAAGCACTGCTTAGAGGGAAATTTATAGCAGCAAGTGCTTAAATATTACAAAAGAAGAAGGGTCTAAAATTAACCTAAGCTTCCTCCTGAAGAAACTAAAAAAAGAGCAAAATGAACCCAAAGCAAGCTGAAGGGGGAAAAAAATAACAAAGACAAGAGAATAAACCAATGAAATAGAAAGCAAAAAACAAGGGGAAAATTAATGAAATTAAAATCTAGTTCTTTAAAAAGAATAATAAAATGGATAAACCTCTAGGTGAAACTGGCAAAAGAAAAAAAGAAGAAAATTACCAATATTACTGCAGATCCCAAAGACTTTGAAAGATTAGTAAATGAATACTAAGGAAAACTTTATACACAAAAATCAGACAACTTAGACGAAATGGAACAACTCCTTGAGTGTTACAAACCAGGAAAATCCACTCAAGAAAAAAAAACTCTAAATAGTTCTGTTATCTCTTAAAGAAATAATTTTTTATTTGAGAAAGAAATCTCCTGGCTTAGATGGATTCACAAAAAAACATTTAAAAAAGAAATAACACTAATTCTACACAATCCCTTCTAGAAAACAAAAGAGAAAGGAACACTTGTCAACACTTTTTATGAGGCCAGTTTTACCCTGATAAAAGATAGACATACAGTATAAAACCACACACACACAAAAAAAAACCCACAAACCAATTATCTCTGATGACCATCAGCAGAAAAATCCTCAACAATGTAATCAGCAAATCAAATAAAGCAATATATAAGGAAGAATAATATACCATAACCAAGTGGGGTTTATTCAGTAATGCAAGGTCTGGTCAATATTTGAAAAATAATTAACATATTCTACCATATAAACAGACTAAAGAACAAAAACTACATGATCATATCATTTGAGAAGAAAAAAAGCATTTGAGAAAATTTAGCATCTATTCAGTATTAGAAAAAACCTTCAAAAAAGTAGGAGTTAAAGGAAACTTCCTTAATCTGATAAAGCATCTACTAAAAAAAATCCTACCGTTAACATCCTAGCTAATGGTGAAAGACTAGAAAAATGCTTTCCCGCTACGATCAGGAACAAGGATGTGCCCTCTCACCACTCTTCAACATACTGACTACAACTACAGGATACAAGGACCACAAACACAAGTCAATGGTATTTCTACATACTAGCGAAGAAGACAGGAAGCCAAAATTCCACAAAACACCTAACCAACCTATCTACTCAGTACCTGAGCAGGTCCACAGGCAATTCCAACTATGTGTTTGGTATCCAGTCCTGGCAGTGCAGCGGGTTCTGGCTTGGTCACACGCAAGGTGTCAAAGTGCTGGCACTGGTCGTTGCTCCCCCAGCTATGGACCTCGCTGTCCTCAGTCAGAGCCAGGCAGTGGGTGGAGCCTGCAGCCACATCAATTACCTTCTTCCCTAGGAGGAAAGAGTGATACAATACAGCTTCACACCTGACTTCTGCTTAGGTCATTCAGGTCAGGAGGTATTTAATGTCAACTTCTAAAGGATAATTCATTGCTTTAATATTATGCATAATTCCTCTGCTTCGTGTATGTTATTAAAACCCATTTTACTAGCTATAATTTATTAAGACCTATAGCCTGAAAATTAAATAATACCAAGGTATGAAAAGGATCTTTTCCTTACCTTAGTATGAAAAAAGTTACTTTTTTCTCCTTATTCATATTTTCATTCAGAAAGAGACAAGTGTATTTTAATTAATTAAATCATATTCTCCTGTCCCAAGTATAATCACGCAAAGTATATTCTTTTTGCCTCAATGAGACTTTCTATTTTTAGAATATTTTTAGGTTCACAGCAAAATTGAGGAAAAGGCACAGAGATTTCCCTTATACTCCCCACCGCAACACATGCATAGCCTCGCCCATTATCAATTATTCTTTTTTTTTTTTTTGGCATGTGAATGTCTACTTGTTCCAAAACCGTTGAAAAAGGAACCTTTGCTTCATTGTACTGCCTTGGCTCCCTTGTCAAAGATCAATTAACTATACTTATGTGGGTCTATTTCTCAGCTATTTTGTTCCAATGATCTATTTTCTATACTTTAGTCAATGTCATACTTTCTTGGTTACTGTAGCTTTATATTAAGTCTTGAAGTTGGGTAGTGTCAGTCCTTCAACCTGCCCTTTTCCTTCAATACTGTGTTAGCTATTCTAGGTCTTTTGCCTCTCCACATAAAATTTAGAATCAGTTTGTCTTGCATTAAACGTATAGATCAAGATAGAAATGACAGTATTCATTCTTCCTACCCATGAACACAGAATATCTCTCAATTTATTAGTTCTCCTTTGATTTCATTCATCACTTTTGTAATTTTACTCACATAGGTCTTGTACTTATTTTGTTAAGAGTTATACCTATGTATTTCACTTTTTTAATACTATTGTAAATGGTATTTTGTTTTTATTTCAAACTCCACTTCTTAGTTGCTGGTATATAGGAACTAAGGTATATACCAAGTGACTTTGGTATTTTAACTTTGTATCCTGCAACTTTGCTATAATCATTTATTACAGCTTTTTTGTTGATCCTTTCAGATTTTCTACATAAACATTCATGTCATCTGTGAACAAAGATAGTTTTATTTCTTCCTTCTCAATCCGTACACCTTTAATATCCTTTTGCTGTTTTGTTGCATTAGCTAGAACTTCCAGTATGATTTTGAAAAGAAATGGTGAGATGAGACATCTTTTCCTTGCACTTTATCTTAGTGGGAAAGCTTCAAGTTTCTCACCATTAAGTATGATGTTAGCTGTAGGACTTTTATAGATTTTCTTTATCAAGTTAATGAAGTTCTCTCCATTCCTAGTTTGCGGAAAGTTTTTATCATGAATGGGTATTGGATTTTATCAAATGCTTTTTCTGCATCGATTAATATGATCAGGTGATTTTTCTTGTTACTCTGTTGATTTGATGGATTACATTAATTGGTTTTTTGAATGGTTAACTAGCCAACATTGCATATGTAGAATAAATTCAACTTGGTGGTGATGTTTAATTCTTTCTATATATTGTTGAATTTGATTTGCTGATATTTTGTTGAGGATTTTTGCATCTATATTCATGAGAGATGTTGGTCTGTAATTTTCTTTTCTAATAATATTTTTGTCTGGCTTTGGTATTAGGGTAATGCTGGCCTCATAGAATGAATTAAGAAGTATGACCTTTGCTTCCATCCTCTGAAAGAGATTACAGAGAATTGGTATAATTTCTTCCTTAAATGTTTGGTAGAATTCACCAGTAAACCCATCTGGGCCTCATGTTTTCTGTTTTGGAAAGTTATTAATTACTGACTTAATTTCTTTAAGAGATATAAGCCTATTCAGTTTGTCTATTTCTTCTTGTATAAATTTTGACAAATTGTGTCTTTTAAAGAAATGGTTCATTTCATCGAAGTTACCAAATTTGCAGGCACAGACTTGTTCTTAGTATTCCTTTATCATCTTTACAATGTTAATAGGATCTGTAGTGATGTCTTCTCTTTCATTTCTGGTATTAGTAATTTGTGTCCTGTTTTCCTTTTTTCTTAGCCTAGTTAAAGTATACTGATTTTTTTAATCTTTTCAAAGAACCAGCTTTTGGTTTCTTTGATCTTCTCTACTGATTTTCTGTTTTCAATTTCATTGGTTTCTTCTCTAATTCTCATTATTTCTTTCCTTCTTCTTATTTTGGATTCAATATGCTCTCCTATATCTAGTTTCCTAAGGTAGAAACTTAGACTATGGATATTTTTTTAACATCCATAACCACACATAATTACAAATTTTTTTTTCTTGTGATGAGAGCTTTTAAGATCTGTTCTCTTGGCAACTTTCAAATACACAATAAAGTGTTAACAGCTACAGTCACCATGCTGTATATTATAACCGCAGGACTTATTTCACAACTAGAAATTTGTACTTTTTGACCACCTTCACCCACTTTACCCACTCCCCACAACTCCCACCTCTGGCAACCACCAATCTATTCTCTGCATCTATGAGTTTGGTGGGGGTTTTGGGAGAGTTTTGGGGTGTTTTTTTTTTTTAGATTCCACAAATAAGTAGGATTATACAGTGTTTGTCTGTCTCTATCTGACCTATTTATTTAGCATAATGCCCTCAATGTCCATCCATGTTAACACAAACGGAAGAATTACCTTCTTTTTTATGGCTGAATAATATTCCATCATATGTATATACTACATTTTCTTTATCTACTCATCTACCAATGGGACACTTAGGTTGTTTCCATATCTTGGTTATTGTGAATAATGCTGCAATGAACATGAGGATGCAGATACCTTTTTAAGTTCACATATTTACTTCCTTCAGATAAACACCCAGAAGTGGAATTGTGGGTTCATATGGTAGTTCTTTTTTGTAAAGCCTCCTTACTGTTTTCCACAGTGGCTGTACCAATTCACATTCCCATCAACACTGCACAAGGGTTTCTTTTTCTCCACATCCTCATCAACACTTGTATTTCTTGTCTTTTTGATAACAGCCATTCAAACAGGTATGAAGTGTTCTCTCACCTGTGGTTTTGATTTGCATTTCCCTGATGATTAATGATATTGAGCACACACCTTTTTCATGTACCTGTTGGCCATCTATAACTCATCTTTGGAAAAATGTCTACTCAGATACTCTGCCTAATTTTTAATCAAATTGGTTATGGGGTACACTTTTTGTTTGTTTTGCTACTAAATTTTAAGAATCCTTTATATATTTTGGATATTAACCCCTTATCAGATATATGATTTACAAATATTTTCTCCCATTCTATATTCTATAGGTTGCCTTTACATTTTAGTGGGGTTTTTTTGTTTTTTTTTTTTGAGAGAGAGAGAGTGAGTGTGCCGGGGGGTGGGGGGGGCAGAGGGAGAGAGGGAGGGAGAGAGAGAATCTTAATGAGGCTCCAATGCCCTGCACAGAGCCCAATGTGGGGCTCAATCTCACAACTTTAAGATCATGACCTGAGCCAATATCAAGAGTCAGACGCTTAACCAACTGAGCCACCCAGGCACCCCACCTTTACATTTTATTAATGGTTTTCTTTCCTGCACACAAAGATTACTTACTTTAGATTTTTCTTCTTTTCTAACATATGCCTTCTAATTTCCTTCTAAGCACTGCTTTCACTGCATCCCACAAATTTTGGTAAGTTGTTCTCATATTCATTCAGTTCAAAATATTTTAAAATTTCTCTTAAGATTTTTTGTTTGACCATGTGTTATTTGGAAGTTTGTTGTTTAATCTCCATGCATTTGGGGATTTCCCAACTATCTTTCTGTTACAATTTTTAGTTTAATTCCCTTGCAGTCTGAGGACATAGTTTGATCTCTCTTCTTTTAAATATGTTAACGTGTGCTTTATAGCCCAGATTGTGGGCTATCTTAATTAAGGAAGTTTTCTAAAACAACATCTTTTTCTCCAAAGTGAAATAATACAAATACATTTTTCCTATTTAAATAGTATTAAAGTATTGTATTTTTGCTTAATAGTAAATCTAACATGACCAACACAAGGGATATTTTCAGTAATGTCAACGTAAAAAATAATTCAGCTACAAAATTCTACCCGAGTAAGGAGAACAATTCTATCTTGAGCCTATGAGACGTTGACATAGTGATGGCCAAAATGACTGTACCATCAATCATTTAAATGCTTTCACAGTAAGCTATCTCTGTATCTAATAAATGTAGCTGATTTCCTTTACTAAGTGAAAAAAATATATAAACAAGAAGGCTAACAAAATTCAAACACAGCTCCATAACATACAACCAACTGTATTACCCCACAACTTACCTCAGAAACTTAGAAAATAATAAATACCATAGTACCTTCTTGTCATCAAGGTATTAATATGTTTTAAAGATTTTATTGATTTATTTATTTTTAGAGAGAGAGGAGAAAGCACATGCATGCATGAGCAGGGAGAGGAGGAGAGGGAGAGAGAGAATCTCAAGCAGACTCCATGCCAAGCACAGAGCTTAATGCGGGGCTCCATCTCATGACCCTGAGATCACGTCCTGAGCCAAAACCAAGAGTCAGACGCTTAACCAACTGAGCCACCCAGGCACCTCAAGGTATTAATATGTTTTAAAATAATAATGATGGGGAAAGAAACAAGCAAGTCCCATGTAAAAGTCTCAATTCCAAACTCCCTTGACAAAAAAACAAAAACATAAAGTAGAATCTAGCTCAGGGATTCAACAAACTTCATCCCTCATGCAAACACATGCCAAGGACTGTTTTTGTGAATAAAGCTGTACTATCACACAGCCAGGCCCATTTATTTACATATTGTCTATGGCTCCTTTTGGACTACAACAGCAGAAAAGAGTAGTTGAGACATACAATGTATGGTACTCAAACCTAAAATACTTACAGTCTACTTTAAAAAACAGCCTGCCCACCCCCTTTAGCACTACAGGCCACCTGATACACCTATCATCAACCTCTCCCATACTTCAGAAGGCATCTGCAAAGCACACCTACATGCCTTGGCTCCCATTCTATCTAGAATGCATGCTGGATGCCCTTGAAATCAAACAAGCAGGATTTACCCATCAAGGATAAGTTCAAGTGAGAACACTCCCAAAGGACCCAATCCTATCTCCCACTACATTCCCACAGCACCATGCATATCTGTCATCTTAGCAATGTCTACACTATAGGTATCGGTAACCTCACCAATAGAAGTTCATCTCACTAAGGTCAGCTTACTTAATGATGAATAGATGCCTGCCACAAAAAGGACTTACCAATATTAGTAAAACTGAATGAGTTTCAAATGAAATCTGGTGAGAATAATTCTACACCATTTTTTTTTAAAGATTTTATTTATTTATTCAGGAGAGACAGAGAGAGAGAGGCAGAGGAGAGGGGGAGAAGCAGGCTCTCTGCAGAGCAGGGAGCCCAATGTGAGACTTGATCCCAGGACCCCGGGATCATGACCTGAACCGAAGGCAGACGATTAACCAACTGAGCCACCCAGGTGCCCTACACCGTTTTTTAATAAAGACAACCTACTTTCCATTATTATCTATACCTATGAAAATGTGAGTAAAAGCCTTCTAATGATAAGTCATTCATGAAATATTAGGTAAAAAAAAAACCCTGAAATCTTTAAAAGATTACTGAAGAAAAAGCTTCAAAGAGTTTTAAAAGTTTACATTTTGCACTCACCTTGCAAGCCTTCCAAGAGTTTGGGATAACGAACATGTTCTTCTGTTCCATGCCCAAGTCTCTGGTTGTCACCTTTTCCCCATGAATAAACTTGGCCATCTTTCGTCAAAGCAATAGAAAACTGACTTCCACATCGAACCTTCACGACATCCAAGTCTTGAAGCTTCTCAATAAGCTTTGGTGTTTTGCAGCCATCACTACCACCTCTGCCCAATTTCCCATAGTCACCATCTCCCCAAGACCACACCTGACCTAAAAAAACACAAATATATTTAAGTAAAAATAACTGTACATCTTAATGCAACTTTTAAATGGCTCAAATACTCAATATAACCCATAACAAACCTACACCATTAATATATTTAGTTAACACTATACTGGCCAAATGAAATCTAGTTTATACTTCAGGTTGATACAGAAACAATTAAAAAAAGGATAGCCAGATTTTCTTTTTGTTTTAGCTAAAAGAATAATAAAGTCCTGATCCGTACTAGTTTGGGCTCAACGACTGGGTTCAGTTCAACCAAGTAGTGAACACAGAACAAAAACTCCACTGCCTCCATAAAATACCGTAACTTGGCCCACCACAAGATGTTGCAGCTCTCTGACCACTGTCTCTCAGGTCTGTCTGCACACTGTTCCTGTCATGCTCACCACAAATTAACTGCATGACAGCATCTATTTCCAATAATATTTGTTAGTATAATCTAGTTAAATATTACATAAAGGGATAAAACAAATTACAAAAATGTGGTTGGATTCTTTTTACTCTGATAACTAAGCTAAAAACTTTGCAAAAATGCAGTAAATGTGAATTATTGAAAAAAAAATACCTGGTAAAACCTATAGAGGATGAGAAAAGAAATGAGAAGAAATGTAAAAGAAGAAATGAGATTGCTCCATAAGTGACTAAGTTCCCATTCTATTTTAAATAATCTGAACTAGAGATCAACAAACTTTCTGTTAAAGTCCAGATGGTAAGTATTTTTAGGCTTTGTGGGCAATGTGGTCTCTGTCACAACTATCCAAGTATTCCCCTGTCACAGGAAAGCAGCCACAGACAATACGTAAGCAAGGTGGCATTCAAATATTCTATTTGTGAAAACAGCCAATCCCTGATCGAAAATTGTAGATGATACACTAGTGGGTGGTCAGTGACATAAACACACCAATGCTCAATGCAGCAAACCCATACACAAACATCAGAGAATGTGTATAAAGAATGTGTATACACTTATATGCCTTGCCAAATGCCTGTTGTTCACATAGCCCAGCTGGCAATTCCCACTTTCTCCAATGTTTTCAGTGACCCTGTTACCCCAGAACCAGACCTTACAGGTCAGGATGCTTCTACCATACCAATTGTCTCAAAAAACACAGTTATGTAGCAGGGACATTTCCCTATATGACCAAATACCAATGTGAGGTAAATAGCATGCATAGTTTCCAATCACAGCAATTTAGTCAAAACTTCAAACAGCTTTACCTTCGTAGCAGTTTCACACAAAGAATTTAAGAACAAACCCTAATATGACTTATTCAAGAAAAGACTTTCTGGCTAAGAGGTTTATAAAATCTATTAATCACTCAACAATGGACACTTAAAAACAAGATGTCAAACTGAAAGCTTCATGCCAGAAGAGAACTTTAAGATGACTGATGAGACCCATCTTTTCTCCAAGACTTACAGTAGCAGAAGATGCCTCTATGTCTATCCCTTCAGGGGAGGGGGGGCCTATGTGGACATGAAGATGCCTGAAATATTCTTTCTCCTCTCACTAAAGAAATCCCCAGGGAGGGGAGCTAAGATGGCAGAGGAATAGGGGACCCTAAGTTTGTCTGGTCCCTGGAATTCAGCTAGATAGTTACCAAATCATTCTGAACACCTGTGAAAAGAGGAGATCTGAGAAAAGAAATGCTGCAATTCTAAAATAGAAAAGCAATCACTTTTTGGAAGGTAGGAGGTGCCGAGACTTGGTATCCAGGGTGATGTATCTGAGGAAACTGCAGAGAGAACTGCCTGTTTAAGGAGGCTACTGCAAAGTATTATAAGCAGTAGGATGCAAAATCGGAACTTTTATGAGTCTGCTACAGTGGGGGACATCACTGGATTAAAAGTGCTCAGGTGGCAAAGCAGGGTGGAATCCCAGGTGAGACAGCATGGTCTCAGGATCCCGGAGGCCACAAGAAGAATGGGAGTGGCTGAGTGCGGCAGAGTTCCCAGGCATTGGAGTGGGGAAGCCGAATGAAAACAGCAAGTCTAGGTGCCAGCTTTCGGCTCTGTGTTGCTATAAGCTGTAAACTGAGAACTGCTGCATGGTTGCACAACCGCTCTACGGGCAGGGTCTAGGCAAAAGGCAGAAGCTCAGCGAGATGCCCCACAAACTCCCAGAAGGAACAGCATGGATCCACATCTCAGGAGTCCATAAAAGTTTGCAGAGACCCGAAACTCCAGCACATGCCTGAGATAAAAACAGTCAGTCACAGGCTAAGTGAACACAGAGTTCGGACAAAAAACAGGGAGACAGAGTGACTGACTGCTTTTCTGTGAGGACTCACTGAAGAGTGAGGGACACCAACTTTCAGCTCCAGGGATAAAGATCCAGGCACCACTATTTTCATCCCGCCATCAGTGCTAAAAGCCTTCAAGAAGCAAATCAGTGCCACACACTGCAATCCAGAGCCACATACACTGAGCCCAGCACCCTGGCAAGGGAAGCACAGATCCACCACGGCAAGGGCACCTGAGAATTGATCAATAGACCCCTCCACCAGAAGACCAGCAGGAACAACTGGAGAGCACCAAGTTTACAGATGATAGAGAACTGCAAAACTTCAGCTCTTGGGGAATACAGTATATAGCATTCGTGGGGTTTTTTCTATTCTTTAGTCTTCCAGTTTTATTTTCATTCACCTAATTTTCTTATTTTTTCAATTCTTTTATTCTTTAATTTTTTTTCTTTATTATGTTAGTCACCATACAGTATATCATTAGTTTTTGATATACTGTTTCATGATTCATTATTTGTGTATAACACCCAGTGCTCATTACAGCACGTGCCCTCCTTAATACCCATCACCAGGCTACCCCAACCACCCCTGTCCCTCTGAAACCCTCACATTGTTTCCTGGAGTACACAGTCTCTCATGGTTCATCTCCCTCTCTGATTTCCCACCCTTCAGTTTTCCCTTCCTTCCCCTAATGTCTTCCATGCTATTCCTTATGTTCCACATATGAGTGGAACCATATGATAATTGTCTTTCTCTGTGCTTAACTTATTTCACTTAGCATAATCTCCTCCAGCCCCATCCATGTTGATGCGAATGTTGTGTATTCATCCTTTCTGATGGCTGAGTAATATTCCATTGTATATATGGACCACATCTTCTTTATCCATCGCCCTTCAACAGATGAATGGGTAATTTTTATTTTTATACATGTTTTACATATATATATATGTATTTGTATATATATAATTTTTGGTTTACTTTCATTGTATTTTATTTTATTTTTCTATATATATATAAAATTATCTTTCTTTGCTATTTTGGGATCTAGTTTCTTTTAACAAACAGACCAAAATACACCCAGGATCTAGTTTATTGTTTCATTCTGTTTTACTTCTTGTTTGATTTTTTCTTATTTTGTTTTGTTTTTGTTTTCTTCTGGTTTGTTTTGTTTTTTTCTGTTGTTATTTTTGTCTAATCTCTCATTTTCTTCTATTCTTTTCTCAACATAATGACGAAATGGAGACACTCACCGCAAAAGAAAGGAGGTAATAATCCCTGCCAGGGATTTAATCAATAACAGATATAAGTAAGATGTCTGAACTAGAATTTAAAACGATTATAAAGATACTGGCTAGGCTTGAAGAAAGCATAGAAGACAGTAGAGAATCCCTGTATAAATAAAAAATTAAAATCTAATGAGGCCGAAATTAAAAATGCTATTACTGAGATACAGTCACAAACGGAGGCTCCAAAGTGAGGATAAGGAAGGCAGAAGAGCGAGTCAGTGAGATAGAAGAAAAAATGATGCAAAATAAGGAACCTGAGAAGGGGGGAGAAAAACAACTACGGGACCATGAAGGGAAATTTCAAGAACTCAAACACTATAAAGCAAAATAATATCCAGATAATAGGGGGCCCCAGAAGATGGGGGCAGGGGGGAAGAACGTTCATTTAGACAAATTATAGCTGAGTACTTCCCTAATTTGGGGAAGGAAACAGGCATTCAAGTCCAGGAGGCCCAGAAAACCCCCTCAAGATCAATAAAAATAGGTCAACACCTCAACATATAATAGTGAAGCTAGCAAATTTCAGAGACAAAGAGAAAATTATAGAAGCAGCTCAGGACAAGAGGTCCTGAACCTACAAAGGTAGACACATCAGGCTGGCAGCAGACCTGTCTACAGAGACCTGGCAGGCCAGAAAGGACTGACATGATATATTCAATGTGCATGCTAAATGGGAAAAATATACAGCCAAGAATACTTTATCCAGCAAAGCTGTCATTCAGAATACAAGGACAGATGAAGAGTTTCCAGGACAAACAGAAACAAAAGGAATTTGTGAAAACTAAACCAGCCCTACAAGAAATATTAAAGGGGATCCTTTGAGCGAAGAGAGAACCCAAAAGTAACAAAGGCCAGAAAGGAACAGAGACAATATACAGAAACAGCAACTTTACAGGTAATACAATGGCACTAAATTCATATCCTTCAGTAATTATTCTGAATGTAAATAGAGTAATTGCTCCGATCAAAAGACATAAGGTATCAGAATGGATTAAAAAAACAAGACCCATCAATATGCTGTCTATAAAAGACTCATTTTAAACCCAAAGACACATCCAAATTGAAAGTAAGGGGGTGTAAAATCATTTACCATGCTAATGAACATCAAAAGAAAGCTGGAGTAGCCATCCTTATATCATACAAACTAGATTTTAAACCAAAGACTGTAATAAGAGATGAGGAAGGACACTGATTCATAATAAAAGGGTCTATGCAACAAGACTTAACAATTGTAAATATTTATACCCCTAATTTGGGAGCAGGCAAATATATAAACCGAGTAATAACAAAATTAAAGAAACACTTTGATAATAATACAGTAATAGTAAGGGACTTAACGCCCCACTCACAGAGATGGAAAGATCATCTAAGCAGAAGATCAACAAGGAAACAAGGGCTTTGAATGACACACTGGACCGGATGGACTTAACAGAAATATTCAGAACATTTCATCCTAAAGCAACAGAATACACATTCCTCTAGAGTGCACATGGAACATTCTCCAGAAGAGATCACATACTGTATCACAAATCAGGTCTCAACTGGAACCAGAAGACTTAGATTATACCATGAATATTTTCAGACCACATGCTTTTAAAACTTGAACTCAATAACAAGAGGAAATTTGGAAGGAACACAGATGCATGGAGATTAAAGAGCATCCTACTAAAGAATGAATGGGACAACCAGGAAACTAAAAAACAATAAAAAAAATACATGGAAGCAAATGAAAATGAAAACACAACAGTTCACATACTTTGGGATGCAACAAAGGCAGTCCTAAGAGGGAAGTATATAGCAATACAGGCCTTTTTCAAGAAAAGTCCCATACACACAATCTAACGTTACCCTAAAGGAGCTGGAAAAAGAACAGCAAATAAAGCCTAAATCCAGCAGGAGAAGAAAAATAATAAGATTAGAGCAGAAATCAATGAAATATAAATCAAAAACAGCAGAAGAAATCAATGAAACTAGGAGCTGGTTCTTTGAAAGAACTAGTAAGATCGATAAACCCCTAGCCAGATATGTCAATAAGAGAAAGGACCCAAATAATAAAATCATAAATAAAGAGGCGAGATCACAACCAACACCAAAGAAATATAATTGTAAGAGCATATCAAGAGCAACTATATGCCAACAAATTTGGCAATCTGGAAGAAATGGATGCACTCCTAAACATAAAAACCAAAACTGAAACAGGAAGAAATAGAAAACCTGAACACATCTGTAACCAGGAAAGGAACTGAAGCAGTAATCAAAAATCTCCCAACAAACAGGAGTCCAGGTCCAGGTGGCCTCACAACAGAATTCTACCAATCATTTAAAGAAGAATTAATACCTATTCTTCTGAAGCTGATTAAAAAATAGAAATGGAAAGAAAACTTCTAAACTCATTATATGAGGCCGGCATTACCTTGATCCCAAAACCAAAGACCCCACCAAAAAGGAGAATTATGGACCAATATCCCTGATTAACATGGATGCAAAAATTTTCAGCAAGATACTAGCTAATAGGATCCAACAATACATCAAAAGGCTATTCTCATCACTCCTGTTCAACATAGTAGTGGAAGTCCTAGCCACAGCAATCAGACAACAAAAAGAAATAAAAGGCATCCAAATCAGCAAAGAAGTCAAACTCTCACTCTTCACAGATGACGTGATACTCTATGTAGAAAACACAAAAGACTCCACCCAAAAACTGCTAGAACTGATAAAGAAATTCAGCAAAGTGGCAGGATATAAAATCAATGCACAGAAGTCAGTTGCATTTCTATACACTAACAATGAAGCAGAAGAAAGAGAAATCAAGGACTCAATCCCATTTACAATTGCACCAAAAACCGTAAGATACCTAGGAATAAGCATTACAAATCCAGACTTCAAGCTGTATTACAAAGCTGTAATCATCAAAACAATATTGTACTGACACAAAAACAGACACATAAATCAGTGAAACAGAATAGAAAACCCAGAATTGGACCCTCAACTCCATGGTCAACTAATCTCTGACAAAGCAGGAAAGAATATCCAATGGAAAAAGTCAATCTCTTCAACAAATGGTGTTGGGAAAATTAGCCACATGCAGAAGAATGAAACTGGACCACTGTCCAGTTTCAAAAATAAGCTCAAAATGGATGAAAGACCTAAATGTGAGACAGAAATCTATCAAAATCCTAGAGAACACAGGCAGCAACGTCTTTGGCCTTGGCCTCAGCAAGTTTTTGTTAGACACGTGTCCAAAGGCAAGACAAACAAAAGCAAAAATGAACTATTGAGACTTCATCAGGATAAAAAGCTTTTGCACAGCAAAGGAAACAGCTGACAAAACTAAAAGGCAACCTACAGAATCGGAGAAGATATCTGCAAATGTCTTATCAGATAAAGGACTAGTATCCAAAATCTGTAACTTATCAAACTCAACACCCAAAGAACAAATAATCCAACCAAGAAATGGGCAGAAGACATGAACAAACATTTCTCCAAAGAAGACATACAAATGGCCAACAGACACATGAAAAAACACTTAATATCACTTGGCATCAGGGAAATACAGATCAAAACCATAATGAGATACCACCTCACACCAGTCAGAATGGCTAAAATTAACAACTCAGGAAAAAACAGATGTTGTTGAGGATGCAGAAAAAGGGGAACCCTTTTACACTGCCTGTGGGAATGCAACCTGGTACAGCCACTCTGGAAAACAGTATGGAGGTTCCTCAAAAAGTTAAAAATAGAGCTACCCTACAATCCAGCAATCACACTACTAGGTATTTATCCAGAGGATACAAACATAGTCACTGGAAGGGGCACATGCACCCCAATGTTTATAGCAGCAACGTCCACAATAGCCAAACTATGGAAAGAGCCCATATGTCCATCGAGAGATGAATGGATAAAGAAGATGTGGTATATATATGCAATGGAATATTACTCCGCCATCAAAGAGAATAAAATCTTGCCATTTGCAATGATGTGGATGCAACTTGAGGGTATTATGCTATACAAAATAAGTCAGTCAGAGAAGGATAAATATCAGATTATTTCCCTCATATGCGGAATTTAAGAAACAAAACAGATGAATACAAGAAAAAATAAGAGGAAATCAGAGATGGAGACAAACCATAAAAGACTCTTAACTAGAGGAAACAAACTGAGGGTTGCTGGCGGGGGCGGGAAGGAGTAACTGGGTGATGGGCATTAAGGAGGGCACTTGATGTAACGAGCTCTGCATGTTATATGCAACGGATGAATCACTAAGTTCTACCTCTGAAACTAATAAATAAATAATTTTTAAAAAAAAGAAAGTAATCCCCAGAATTAAGTCAGTTCCCAATGTGCCATTCAACTTCTGCAGGAGGGCAGACAGAGAGGCTCCCCAGCTGATTCTGACAGATCCCCACAATTTTGAAGACAGACCCTCACAATATTAACAAATAGTTTTTAAAAATCAGTAAGATTCTAACCATCAAACCTGCTAAATGTACCCTTCAAAGGAAAAGCAAAATGAGTACAATCTCAGTAATGAACACAAATACAAAAGTACAATTAAAAACAAGCGAACAATGTAGCATTATACTAGAATCCACATAGACTAAGCAGTGTTCTAAGTTACCACAGAGAATCAAAGGTAGCTGAACATGAGGAAATATATAATAACTAGAAACAATTCAGAATGTCAATTATTCCACTGTAACTCATTTTTTTATTAAAAAATGAAATGCCCAAATAGGGAGGATATAGCTGTTAACTAGCTCTCTGGATGCAGGTAAAAGATGTTAGAAGTCCTGTAACTTCTTAACCTCTGCCATGGACCCTAAGGTGCACACCACTTAAAGATGGACAAAGGGGCAGCCACATGAGGTGCACTCACTCCCTCAAGGAAAGCGGCACTCCTCATCCTGAGGATCTGCTCGGGCAGCATAAGCACTGCGTACCATTCTCTGTCACGGCCAGGGTTTGAGCATCCCCGCTCCCGCATGCCACATCAATGACCTTCAATCCTTTAAGCCCAGCTACCAGCATTGGAATGGCCTCATCTTCACTGGAGCCTTCAAACAGATAGGACAATCGTTATTGTAAGATCCTCAAAAGAGGCAACCTCCCACTGCATGCTCGAGCTGGCTCAGAGCAAATGTACCGTGGCCTAGTCGGCCGTAGTTCCCTCGGCCCCAGGTATATAGCTCCCCCTCGGCAGTGATGGCCGCACTATATGTGCTTCCACACGCGATGTGCACCACATGCTTCCCAGCCTGTTTTCCAGAGAAAGCAGATATCACCTTAGGCTCTTCCAAAGGCCTGTGGAGAGAAAGGAAACAAATGTGAATGTCCTTCAACGCATGTCCTATTAGTGTTAGCAAAGAAAATAACTATCTGAATCAACTATCAGAGTGCCAAGACAGTTTGGCTTTTCAGGCGCCTTATGAAATAATAAAGGAACATAGAATTCAAACACCCAACACTTCCATGATTGATCGTTTATTGGGCACCTGATGCCAAGCATGGCATCCAGCAGAAATATCAAAACAGGTTTGTTAAAGACTCGTACAATCAAGTCTAGAGCAGCTTTGTTCATAGTGGTCCAAAACAGTGACCCATCCACAGACAGACCACTCAGCAACAGGGACAAAGCAACTACTGACACACACAACAAGTTGGCTGAAGCTCAGGAACTCTGCTAAGTGAAAGAGCCAGGAACAAAATACCACATAGTGATAGAGGGCAGATCAGGAACTGGAAGTAGAGAGCAGGGTTTGATTGCAAAGGGGTCCAAAGAAAGTAGCAGGGGCATCAGAAATGTTCTCTCAGTTGTGGTGGTTCCCCAACTGCATGCATTTGCTGAAACTCATCAAATTGTACTCTTAAAACAAATGGATTTGTAGACCTCATACCAGTGGTTAAAATTTACACATTTGTTAAATAAGGAAGGAATGAAGGAGCAAGGTTTACTAATCACACTCCAAACTATATTTTACAAATGAAAATAGAAGGCAGTAAGGATTAATTAGGGAGCAATCTTAGTAGATGGCTCTTCACTTTCAAAACTAGCAAAACGCCCTATGCTTATAATCCAGAATATGTATACTATGATTGGTAACACCCAACTCTACCCTCTCCAAAGACATGGTTTACTGACTTTGTGACCCACTATTCTGCAAAATAAATAAATGCACACAAAAGCATGGGCACATATAGGCACAGGGAGAGCTGAACAACCCTACTCTGATACCACTTATCCCTCCCTCTTCAGCTCAAGTTTCAACCCCCAAGTTTCCCTCCAACTCCTACCATCTTCACTGATCTCTTTTCCTTCCCTCAATTTCTCGAGCAATGGACAAGTTATTTAATCTAGCATCTAGCACTTAATCTCAACTGAGTATATACTAGTTTTTTGTAATTTAGTACAAATTACAAATAACATAAAAGAAGGAAAAAACTAATGTGCCCAGCCTGTATCTCCATCCTTTCAAGTCCTATGTGCCCCACCCACCTCACCTCCTTTAGTATGAGAATAACAATTCTAAATTCTATAATTAGCAATCCTTTGTTTCTCACAATCATTTTACCACATTTGTCTGAATCCCTTACAGTACTGTCAAGTTTGGAATATTTCTGCTGAATGCTAACACACAATACACATTGCTCAGCTTTTTTCACAGTTTGAGACTCTACCCAGGGATGTCCATCTCCATCCCACCACAGTGAGAAGGGGCCAGACTCCTCTCAACTCTGTTCATGCCTCTAACCCTCTTGAAGTGGGGGTGCATCTTCAATTTTAATCTAGGGCCAAGTTTTTCTCTACCAGGCTCCCCACTTAAGCCAGCAACATATAAAAGGGTTCCTTCCACTCTGTGGCAGCTGTGGGAACTCTCCATTTTTACAACCTTGCATTTAGAACAACCATTTTGTTTTATTCCTGGTCTCTCACAATAATCAAAAGCTTCCACAAAATAGGACATTAAATTATTGAATTTTGTACCTATGAAAATGGAATGGCTTAAGGAAAGGAGGATATTATCTCTTAGAGACATGTTGAACTGTTTGTGTATGAAGAAACAAGGGATTGTTTCAATGGGATTTGCTTTAGGAAACTCCACAGTGTGGGGTATTGGTATATGTAGTTAAAATAGGAACAGCAAAAGCTGGAAGCTTTGAATCTGGGAGAGAAGAACAGGAAGGGCAACTGACATCATCCTCTGTGCTATGGGCAGAACTCCCATAGCATTACCCAGGGGCTGACATATCTTGATAGCCTTCTCCACCCCAGCCCTACATGTCAGAGTAGCTATAAAATAACCAGCCACACTTTTCTTTTCATCCTATTTTGGATACAGCAACTCAAAGGGAAAGCATGTCAATTTTAAGAATCGACCATACGTACACAGTATCCCCGTGGCCCAGTCGACCACCATCCCCACAACCCCAGGAGTACACCTCTCCCGTGGCTGCCAGAGCCAGGTAGTGGTGACCATCAGAATGGGCAGCAATCTTCACAATGTTTCTGGAGGCAAGACCCTGGACCAGCTGTGGGGCCTAAAAGGGTAAAAATAGGAAGAAAATTAGTAAGCAGTCCAAGGACAATGAAAACAGCATGACCAATGGCATATGGAGGAACATGGAGGAGTGCACAGCCAAAGCAAGTTTCTAGGCTGCTAGAAACACACAAGCACTAAAACACAAAACAGCATGACTCTTCTCAATTATGCATCTCATTTTAACAAACTCTCCTAGAACTGAAAGAACATGAGCTTCTGGAGGCTGCCATCCAATCGTCCAGACGCCCTGCCCACTACCAACAGAAGAGTGGGCAGCCTCCAAGTGCTCTGTGATGTGACTAGGCCACTTCCACACAATGGAAATTCACAACTCAAGGTCAAAAACACCCCACAAGGCCCAATTCCCTTATCTGTTACTATCTGGCCCCCAAAATATACTGAGTTTACACGTGGAAAATTAGTTTACAAATGGGAATCATGATGGGCAATGCATGTTACTGTAAGGAGCTCCTGATCTTAACAACTAAGAAATTCTGCCCCCAAATTTTGACAATAATGATCTTAATTATTTAAGATTATTAAGTAAGACTAATAAAATACAATGAACAGATGCTTCTAAATCTTCAGAAATAAAGACTAGAATTCTGTAGCACCTGTAGTAGAAAAGTGCCCACCAAGGGAAGTGATCTGGGCCCCAAAACACCCACCAGCGTGTCACTGTTGTAGGCCTGCGTATACACGCGGCCATTCCTCGACAAGATCAGGAAGCGCTTTTCTGCACAGGCGATCTGCGTGACCCCCAGGTTGGCAAGTCCTTCACACTGAATTGGACCAATCACATTGGCATAGTATTTCCATCCTATTAACCCCCATCCTATGACTTCTTGCAATGATCCCTGTAAGATAACAAGGTAAGTAAACATCTTCTTTACGGGGTGGCAAGAATATTTCTTTCTTACTCAAAAGAAAGAAAAATTTATGCTAAGAGTAACACTGAGATACCATAGGATAAAAACAAAGCATGTAAAGAAAGGAGCTGATCTAAAACATCAAAATAAGTCATAACATTCCATATTACCTCAGTTAACAGGTAAGATGAAGTAACTGAACAGGTTATTATTCTTCCACAGCATTTCATTTTAACAGAAACCATTAAAAGTAATATAAATAGACATTAAACATATTTTAAAATGCTCAGATTGTATCAGGTTACCATTTTTGTAGTAACAGGAAGAAACCTGAAAGCCTAAGCAAGAGGCTGGGAGACAAGTATCCTACTGTTGGTATGGGTGAGAAGGATCAAGTTGTATGTGAGCAATTTTGTGATAATCAGCTAACGTGTCCACCCGTATCAGGTCAATCACTGGCGCATGCATACGTGCAAACAGAACAAACGTACAAGGCTAGTCACTGCAGCGGTACTTGAGTAGCAAACTTCTGGCAACACAGTGTCCATCAAAAAAATCATGATAGATCCATATATGGAATACTGAGTTGCTTTAAAATAAAGAAAGAAGTTCTGTTTATTAATAGAGAAAGCTCCTCAGTACATACTGTGTAGTGAAAAAAACAAGCTACGACATGCTACCACTAATGCTAATACCAGAGATATTGAAAGGATATGTAAGAGACTAGAAAAGTGAAAAGCAGCAGGTGCAAAACCAGGCGGATGAGGGGACAGGGAGGAGAAAGTAACGGTGTCTTTGCACTTAATTTTGACCTTTGAACCATGTGAATATACTTATTTGGAAAAAAAAAAAAAAGATGGTAAAATGAAATAAATATAAATCATGTTAAAAATAAAAAGTTAGAAAAACCTGGATTCAAATCCAGGATTATTCTGTGTGACCCTGGCAAAATTCACTGCCACTCCAAATGGCAATCTTCTCATCAATACAGTGGGACAGTGTTGTGATGCCAGATGCAACTGTGTGTGTGAAGTCCTCAGGGGGCCTGCACTGGCAGGCTCTTCACACATGTAGATTAGCGTTATCACTGCTCTGAGCAGCATCAAGACAGCCCATGGCCTAAGCTCCTATTATACAAAAAAAGCGCTGGAACCTCCCTGAGGAAGGCAGGACAGCATGTGGTTGTTCAGATAAAGGAGAGCTCTCTGGGGACACATCTCCTGAATCTGGAACCTGGGATGCTGGATTGGGTCCTAAAGTCCTGTGCACCTCAGCTTGCTCATCACTCGCTCTGACCACTGACAACACTTTAAAGTGTATACATGTTTTAAAGCTGTAACCAGCTCCACCCCCAATACCAGAGAAAGTGTCTCCATATTGGCACAGAGTGAGAATCTAGGAGTGCAACTAACTGTAGAACATACAAAGAACAAACACTGCTATCTCACATACCTTATGAGACGTTGGTGAGCTACACAGAGGTGGCATACAGGGAGTAGCCAGGCGGTCTAAATGGGCCATGACAACAACCGCAGTTTGTCTTAAGTCAATGGCAAGTTCATTGTCTTGTGGAAGAGTAAGGTACCTCAGGAAACTCTCATTGGGGCTCAAAGGACCAGACAAAAGCTACAGAAGAAAAGTAAACAGGCTTCTTGAGAACAGAGGAAAAATTAAAGTAACATAATTAGCCCTTAACCACTCTTTATATTTTGGTAGTCACAGTTATGCATTATCTGTAAACCTACTCCTTTTGGCCATCAAATGAGAAGTGCTGCTGATCCAGTGACACTACACATCCACATGTTTACACACTTGCTGTAAAACTACACACAGTGGTGCCTGCACATTTCCATGTGCATACTCCACACAGGTCAATGACATGGCCCAGCCACCCTGCAGACTCACCCCTCCAGCAGCCCTCAAAATACAGAGCAAGCTTCCTAGGAACACAGCACTGCACCTCAAACTGGCTTTGTAAACTGAAAACCAAAACCACTTATTTTAACCTAAATGCCACCCATCCTGGAGAAAACCTAGTATTACCTGCACATTAAGTAACAAATTTCATTCTTTTCTAAAGGCAGAATAGCCTTATTCCCATTAAAGACTGCCAAGTGATAGAAAAATTAACTTTATAATGGAATAGCTGCCTTTCCAGAAAAGACCTACAAGATCAAACTCTTCTAAAAAGAAGCAGTCCCACAAGTTCACACCCAGGACCCAGGCAGGCCCTCCTCTGCCACCAGCCTCGCTGTTCTAGGACTAAACACAGTGATGACTTAGGTGACATGCTCCACACAATGCCCCGCACACAGGAAGGGCCAAGAAAGTAAGCCACTATTTTCAATGCTCTTTTTCTAATATGTATTTAAAAGTGTGCATGTCAGGGGCACCTGAGTAACTCAGTCAGTTAAGGGTCCAAATATTGATTTCAGCTCAGGTCATGATCTTGGCGTTGTGAGATTGAGCCCCCCCGTTGGACTCCGTGCTCAGTGGGAAGTCTGCTTGAGACTCTCTCCCTCCCTCTCCCTCTGCCCCTCCCACGCTGCACACGCACTCTCTCTCTCACAAATAAATAAATCTTAAAAAAAAGGGTGCATGTCAGACTTAGCTCTGTGCTGCAATGCAGCTGGTACTCACCGATCTGAGGTCTTCTCCATAAATGGCATATGGAGGAACATGGAGGAGAAAGATTTACCTGACTTCTCTAGGCAGGGTCAAAATAAATGAACGTTAACCACTAGGCAACTACACGACCTCATGGTAAAGCACATCCTCTGAACCAGACACACACTTCATCCCACACCAACTGAGCCTCAAACCCTTGCGCTGCCTCTCCACATTATCATTGCAAGTGCCCATAAGGACCTGCTTGACTCTCACATTTTGTTCCTGAAATTTCAATTGTCAGAATTTTTACCCATTTTCATGCCTCTTACTAACTCCTTCATGGAGATGAGCACGCCTTCTTTATATCTTCCACAGCATCTTAAACTCACTCCCCATCACAGCCAAAGCGCAGCCAAAGCAAGTTTCTAGGCTGCTAGAAACACACAAGCACTAAACCCACAAACATGAAGGGCTCAATGGCTCCAGTTCAGCAGAAAGAAAACTGCATGGTCAAAGAGCAGCAGAGGAATCTCTCTAAAAGTACAAGTTGATACATGTCAAGAAATACATTCTTCCTACTAAGTACACACAATCCAGAACACACACACACAGGTCTCATGCTCCCGTGATATTCTACCACATCAACTGAAACTCACTCCATGACATCCCTACACCTGTCCCACATCTGACTCACTCTCTCCCCTAGAGACAACTACTGTCACAGATATGCACTCTGGGCTTGTTTATAAAAGTCTAACTTTTTTTTTTTTTTTAAGATTTTATTTATTTATTTGATAGAGACACAGCGAGAGAGAGAACACAAGCAGGCAGAGTGGGAGAGGGAGAAGCAGGCTTCCCGCTGAGCAGGAAGCCCGAAACGGGGCTCAATCCCAGGACCCTGGGATCATGACCTGAGCTGAAGGCAGATACGCTTAACGACTGAGCCACCCAGGCACCCCAAAAGTCTAAGTCTTTTAGGATAACTGAATCAAGACAGCTACTTAAATGCAAAATCTTGTTACGATACTTACGTGAGTGTCACCATCTGTATGAGGGGCATCTTTACTGCAGATGATGCTCTGGAATCTTTGCAACAAAGGGAGAAGGGGGGCGCTGGTGCCCTGGGCGGACCGTTCATTGTCAGTTTCCTGGGTCCCACTGTCCCACAGTTGAAGCAACAACAGGATGGCAGATAACATTTGGCTGAAAGAGAAAATATCTTTATTCTCTAGCAAAAACAGATTAGCTTTTATTGCCATGGTCTGCCAAAAATAAAAGCAGGTTAGCTAATTAAATAGAAGAAATACTTCATATTCGAAAGGATACCATTAAAATAATACCATGAAAATAATTCTTGGCAGTAAAATCACTGAATCAATGCCAAGATTTTAGCACAAGATATCCACATATAAAACCAGTTAAGAAACTCAAACAGCACTTTTCTTTTTTTAAAGTAGCCTCCACACCCAGCTTGGAGCCCAACCCAGGGCTTGAACTCATGACCCTGAGATCAAGACCTAAGCCAAAATTAAGAGTCAGACGCTTAGCCAACTAAGCCACCCAGGCACCCCTCAAACAGCACTTTCTAAAGGGAACTCCTAGGACCTTAATTAATGGAATAAAAATCATTATTTGAGGAAAATTAAAAGAAAAAAAAAAAAGAACAGCTCCTAGACTACTAGAAAGTTGAACATAAAAAAAAGGAAGTGAAGAAACCTAAGTGTACCCAGTTTTAAAAGAAGAGAAAGTCCTGGGATATGGTTCTTGATTATAGAAGAATACCACATGTTTTCTACAATCACAAATGATTCAATGAAATGCCATAAAATGAAACAGATGTTCAGATACAGAGACATTTCCCTGAAATGCTCCCAGCCTGAGGCATCCCTCACCTCAGCGTGCCTCTCTGCACAGCCAGCTCTAACAGGATGGCCAGGGCCAGGTGCTGGTCCTGAAGGGGAATGCTTCCCGGCCCTTTGGTACCAGGCGTTCCATGAACATCCCTGAAATGAAAGCAGAACAAAGTAACATTAGAGTTTAAAGACAGCATGTATATTTTTAATATTTAGAATCAAGTTTCTGAGACTGACTACTCAAATTTAATAAGAGATTTTAAAGCATACAATTAATTTGTAAAGATATTTTCTTATTGAAAGAATTAATTCAGATACTGTAAGATGACTACATTAGAAAACATATTCCAGTTTCCATAGCATAAAATTATTTTTATCATTATTCAAATCATGAGTAGAAAAATGTTTAGGTATGTTTCCACTTTCAATGACGTGGAATATCCACATCCCTCTATGGAAGTGGAGAAACATCAACTTCTAAAACCACATGGCAAATATATGCAAAATGTTATGCTTATTTTTATCTCTGACCAAAGAAATATTTTAACTTTTCCCCAATAATAAATAACAAGTCTTCTTAACCCAAGATGGGGAAGGGAGGACCTTCTGACATCACCATTACAGTTGAATTTTGAAATTACAGTTGACCTCTGAACGAGTTTGAACTGCACAGGTTCACTTATACAGATTTTTTTCAACATATATATATATATATATAGAAAAATTTTTTGGAGACTTGCCATAATTTGAAAAAACTCACAGATGAACCATGTTGCCTAGAAATACAAAAATTTTAAGAAAAAGGTAGGTAGGGCGCCTGGGTGGCTCAGTTGGTTAAGCGACTGCCTTCGGCTCAGGTCATGATCCTGGAGTCCCAGGATCGAGTCCCACATCGGGCTCCCTCCTCGGCAGGGAGTCTGCTTCTCCCTCTGACCCTCCCCCCTCTCGTGCTCTCTCTCCCATTCTCTCTCTCTCAAATGAATAAATAAAATCTTTTAAAAAAAAAAAAAAAAGAAAAAGGTAGGTAGTATAATAAGAATACAGTAAATAAACGATATAACATAAAATATGTGTTAATCCACTATTCAGGTTACCAGTCAGGCTTCCAATCCACAGTATGCTATTAGTTTGGGGGGAGTCAAATGTTACATGTGGATTTTCACCTGTGTGGGTACTGGCACCCCCAACCCCCTAATATTGTTCAAGGATCAACTGTAATTCCAAGCCTATTTTCAGGGCTCCCAGTCCTAAACCTTGTTGCAATGCCTTCATCAGCATTCTAGGGAGCTGAACTCACAGCCTGTTAGCATAGAGACCACAGGTATCCCTGCATACTGGAAGGGGCACAGCAGTGACCTCTGGCGAAAGGAATGAGAAAATACTCACTTTTCCTTTAATTATGTCCTTGCTGCTGAATTATGTCTTGAACACGTACATTTTCTTTAAATTTAAAAACTCTTAAAAAAATACATAGCACCCAAGATCAGAGTTCATGGCTTTCCTTACTGAAAAATGATTCACATTTAAAAATTTTTTTACACTAACATGAATACACACAGGTTTGATCTTGAGTAGTTGTTTAATCCCACACTGTCTATTAAGACAACACCACTCACTCAGAATGGTAGCATCCACATTCTCACTGAGAGGCCCACAATAGGTGCTCAAACACTTTATGAATGACTAATTCCCAAATCATAAAATATCTAAAAAAAAATACATTACAAAAGCATCTTTCATTTTCTACCTGATTCAATATGATAGCTTCCTGGGTCTAATCAGAATATCAAAAGCAAATATTTGAAAACCTAAAAACCAGGATCTAGAATCACAGAGCTGAGGATGGGCTGGAAACACATATGACAAACCTTCTGCTCTAAAGAGAAGAAGATGAGACGAGACTTTGAAGCATGTTAGAACCATTCATGTATTAAGATGTGAAAAGAAAGAACTCACCCTGTCACAACAGACCTGAGGAACCTGGTTGCTCTCTCTACCACCTCCAGCCACACAGAGGACACCGTGCTCTCATCAAAGAGTGAAGCCTCAGGCAGGGCTCTCAAGGCATCCAGGGACTCCTGTAACAGCTCGCTGCAGAGATCTGCATCCTCCCCTGGGCACACACATGCATCAGAGGAGGCCACCCAATCCTCAGGCAGCACTGACAAGTAAAGCCCTCCCCACTTTCCCAGAGGGACCTCCTACCCCACCATATGAGAGGATGCCACTGTCACGTTTTTAATCCCTCACTTTCCTCTCAACGAGATACTCCAAGAACTCAAAGTCAGTTCTTTATTTTATGACTCTCCCATGTGCAATTCTAACTTCTTGTTCTAGAAAATAAATCAGCATTGATGCACACTGCAGTGGTTTACCTGGAATATATATGCACATATACACTTTTTTTTTCTTTCTTTTTTTTTTTAAGAGAACAGTCCTGAAAAATCAAACAGACTGAAGCCTCTCATTCTACGAACAAGAAAAATGAGGCACAGAGAGCATATGGGATCGGCCAAGGGCATGTGGTGGCAGAACTGAGAAGACAATCCAAGTCTTCCGATGTGGGGAAAGGGAACACTCTGGGCCCACATACCTGACCGCCAGGCCCTGCGTAAGAAGGCAAAGGCAAAGGAGAGAGCTGCTCGGGATCCAACTCTCGCAAGTCCTTCCACTCCTTTGCCTGTGGGCCGGGAACTGTGGACAACACACATGGGAGTTGTGATAACTGGTCAGTCAGAGAAATGTGCAAATACTAAAATAAAGTAAGTAACATGGAAGGATTTGTACAAAAAAATATGATCAATAGATTTCTTTAAATAGCAGGATGACGATGTGTGACTTTTAGTTTCATATATAAAAACTTTTATCAAATGTCCTTTGTAAAGAAGTTTTCTCTTTAAGAAAAAGACATTTAGAAAGAATTTTAAATGACCTGTAGATATGTTCACAAAATAATCTCTGGGAGCTGATCTTATGAGTCAGGGAGAGACACATGGTAAACAGAAAATAAACAGATAAATACATAAATGGGAGGTTAAAGGTCATGTAGTAAAGAAAAGGCAGGTGAGGGGGTTGAGGAACACACAGAGAACAATACGACAAATGCCTGAGACTGCACCCATCCTGCTGAGCTTATCCTCTCCTGAATTTAGTACTTATCATTCTCATGTGTCTTTTTTTTTTTTTCTTTTCTTCAAAGATTTTATTTATTTGACAGAGAGAGACACAGTGAGAGAGGGAACACAAGCAGGGGGAGTGGGAGAGGGAGAAGCAGGCTCCCCGCTGAGCAGGGAGCCCGATGCGGGGCTCGATCCCAGGACCCCGGGATCATGACCTGAGCCGAAGGCAGACGCCTAACGACTGAGCCACCCAGGCGCCCCTCTCATGTGTCTTTTAAGGTTTTTACTACTTATAAAGTTAACAAATATGCATGTTTAAAGAAGTTATACAAATGGCATATCATAAATATCATTCTAAAAAAAAAATCTAGAATATAAAAAGTGTACAATACAAACTCCATCATGACTAGCAAGTAATTTTATTTTCAACTTTACACTGTTGAGTATTTCTACTATATACCGTATTCTTCAAACTTACTAAAGTTTGCTTTCACAATCAGGGGGAAATGCTATTAAAAATGGGTAATGATATGGAATGATTGTCCCAAGATAAAACATCAAGTAAAATTAGCAGTAAAGAACATGGGGACCCCACAGAGGCAGCTAGTATGCATATATCTATGAATCCTGAGCCTTAGGAGGGGAGCTCATGAGGAGACACAAAAAACCTTAATTAGTGACTGCCTCTAATAAGGGGACTGAGTGCCTAGGAGACAGGAATAAGGAAATTTAAACTTTATTTCTGAATGAGAAATATAGTGGTCTTTAAGACAGAAAACACACGTGCTGAGTCTATTCAGATGAGGTAGGAGGAGCCCTCACCAGAAAAATGCTTCAGGAGAAACATGAAACTGGGGTTCCCCTCAAGCAGTCATAACCTAGAGAAAGAGCCCAACAGTTCTAAATCTGTACAGTGTAAGAATTGCTAAATCTTCAGTAAGTCACTCTCTATTTTACAGATACTCAAGAAAAAAAAAAAAACAAAGAGCTTGGACCCACGCCCATCCACACCAGTCAACGATCCAACCCCATTGCTAGTTGGTAAAACCCACCACTATCCAGTAAGTTGAGAAATGAGGAAAAGAAATCTACAAAAATTTAGAAGATATTGCCACCTTTAACAGAATAGCTAAAACAAAGAAGTAACAACACCAAATGCTAACAAGGATGTGGAGAAACTAAACCACTGATACATAGCTGATGAGACTGTAAAATTGTACAGCTATTCTGGAAAGAGTACAGCAATGTCCTACAAACCTAAACATAAGACATAAGAACTGAACTCCAGGGCATTTATTACAGAGAAATGAAACAGGTTCACACAAAAACCTGTCCACAAATATTCATAGCAGCTTTATTCATAATACTCAAAAATTGTAAATAACTGAGATGACCTTCAATTGATGAATGGTCAAACAAAATGAGGTTCATCCATGTCAAAGAATTCTACTATGCAATGATGATACATGCAACTACTTGGAAAAATCTCAAGGAGATAACGCTGATTGAAAAAAAGCCAAGGTTACATAATAGACATGAAGAACAGATTAGGGGCTGCCAGAGGATAAGGCAGAGGGGAGGGGAAAGGGTGAGTGTGGTATAAAAAGACTCCTTGTCTTGTACTCTAACTGTGGCAGTGGTAATAAAAATCCACACCTCTGATAAAATCGTATGGAAACACATGCATACTTGCATGCACACACAGAGTTGAGAACATGTAAAACTAAGGAAATCTGACTGAGAGAGGTAATCTGTATCAAAGTCTATATCCTCATTGTGATAGTATACCACAGTTTTGCAAGTGGCTACCACTGAGGGAAAGTAAGTGAAGGGTATAAGGAATCTGTACTATTTCTTACAACTACATGTGAACCCACAATTATCTCAAAATACATATTTTTTTAATTTTAGGAACTTGTTTGATTTAGTGAAAGGCAGATTCCAATTAACCCATTAACACTTATGTCACCACAAAGGAAAAAGCACAGAGAAAATCAGTTGGGGTCTCATCCACTTCTGCATCTTAGAGAATTCAGTCTCATTCAACAAACACACAGGAATGCTTAGAGAGGCTTAGAATCTACGACCCCCATATGCAAAACCCCTCTCTGATCAATCACCACAAAGGACCACTCCAGTCAAGAAGGAAAGAAAGGACCATGCTGCTTGCTATCACCACATGGGTAGAAATCCTCTGTCACTTCGTTTAATCGATCTTAAAACTACTATCAAATATAGGACATGTAATATGATTTCAACTAGATTTAAAAAGGAAAAAAAAAAAAAAACCATGAACTATGCTAAATTTAGCACTTCTTATCTCCAAGTAGCAAGATAATAAGGTTTTTTGCCCCCCCTGCTTCTTTCTGCCCCTGGACGTTCCATGCTCTATAGGGAATAAAAGTCAGTATTATATTCAAATAAAACCAACTCTTCTTGGGGTGCCTGGGTGGCTCAGTCGTTAAGCGTCTGCCTTCGGCTCAGTTCATGATCCCAGGGTCCTGGGATCGAGCCCCGCATTGGGCTCCCTGCTCTGCGGGAAGTCTGCTTCTCCCTCTCCCACTCCCCCTGCTTGTGTTCCCTCTCTCGCTATGTCTCGCTCTGTCAAATAAATAAATAAAATCTTAAAAAAAAAAAAACTCTTCTTGCTACATAAAATATGAGTTATACCTAGAAATCTTTTAGTCAAGTCTTCTGAGAATAAAACTGTGGTAGACAGCTACTAAAACTCTATACAAGCCTTAAGCATTCTAGTTAATGTTTCAGAAAATCTGCTGATGTATACCAATACATTAAAAATGATATGCCTGAAAGAATCTCTTATAATAAAAGAATAAGAAAATCACATTAGGAAGAAAAAATAAGCATCTAAACTAGCTAGGTACTAGGCACTAAATATCATGATCTGACTATTCCCTATCCAGTAGCAAAATAAAACAAAACGAAAAGAACATAATATTCAGACCCCATTTTCAAAAATCTAGACATGCTTATCTACACCTTCACTGGCTTCCACAGCTACTGACAGAAAAGGGTTTTTAAATAATGGCACAGATTATGAAGCATAGTCTGTTAATCTGAGAAAATTAGCAAAGCCATTCTCCAGATTATATGAAACATACAAAAAGGGAAAGCAAGAACAAAATATCGTAAGATAAAAAACGGGACTATATTGCAAGTTGTACTTAAACTTTCTAAAACAAAACAGCCTGCATTTTATATTTAGCTGGTATCAGGATTTCTTCTTCATTATATTATTACCTCTTTTTGTCCACAGGAGGCAAAGAAACGCTGCTGCTTTTCCACTTAACTTTGACATTCTCCTGGAAAACAGTTCTATTCAAGGCAATGAAGTACCGTTCCAAGATGACCAGCCTCTGCTTGAGTCTCAAGGCTGAAAGGGTAGTAGTGGCTGACTGCATGGCCAGAGCTTGCTGCTCTTTAACCAACACAGAAAGACATTCCTTCAGTTCATTCACATCTACAAAAAAAGAGAAGAGAACACCCAAACTCTCCATATCTTGCCTATAGTTTGTTACAATGTTGATAAAACGGATAATAGCAATAATATGTAACACCTGAGTACTTAATATGTGCCAATAAATGGTTCTAAGCACCTTACACATATTGGGTAATTCTCAGTCACCATCAAGAGGTAATATTGCACATGGATTTTAAGAAGCAGGAAACTGAGGCACACAAAATTTGCTCAAGGTGACCCAGAGGATTACGGCACATGAGACAGACCACTCTTAGCCACCATGGTGTGCTGCCTCTCTGAAACACTGTATTAAAGCTTTTAACACAAAACTATAAAGTCAATACCTTTCAGCAGCACATTTCCTACACACAGAAAAACTCTATCCATTATATTCATGTTATATAACCAAACTCAAAATAAAAATGTTTCAATAAAATTGCCCAGCATACATGATTCATGAAAGGTAATACATTTATTGGAATATTTTCAAGGAAGATAATTCAGCTGACCCTTAAACAACACAGTCAAGCTACACAGGTCCACTTATACACACAAATTTTTCAATAAATATATTGGAAAATTTTTTGGAGATTTGCAACAATTTGAAAAAACTCACAGGAAAATCACAAAGACTAGAAATATAAAAAAAAAAAAAATTAAAAGTTAGGTATGTCATGAATGTACTAAATATATGTAACTACTACTCTATCATTTACTACCATAAAATATACACAAACCTATTATAAATTTAAAATTTATCAACACACCCAAAAATACTTACAGCCCCTAAAAGGTTGAAAAAATGTAAACAAACCTAAAGATGCACTATTAAATCATAACAGCATAAAATTAACCACAGTACATACTTAATGTAATGTACTACTCTTAAAATTTCATAACCACTCCTGTTGCTATTGCAGTGAGCTCAAGTGTTGCAAGTATCCGCTTAAAACACCACTAGATGCTAATCATCTCCACATGAGCAGTTGTCTCCAATAAACTGTGTACTACAGTAAAAAGTGACCTCTAGTAGTTCTCATAACCTTGAATAACACCATGGGAGCCATACACAGTGCCACTAATGATGCCAGACATGTTCCCAAGAAGCTAAGTCATGACATTACAAGAAAAGGTTGAATTGTTTGATAAATACTATAGATGGAGGTCTGCAGCTGTGGTTGCCTGCCATTTTAAGATAAATGAATCCGGTATAAGAACCAATGTTAAAAAAAGAAGAGGAAATTCATGAAGCTGACACAGCAGTCACACCAGCAGACACAAAAACACTGTACTTTCTGCAAAATACCTTTTTATATAGTATTGAAAATGCAGCTTTTATGCAGGTGCAGGATTGCTATGAGAAAGGAATACCTATAGAGACTCTAATGTGATTTGAGAAAAAGCAAAGTCATTATATGATGACAACCTAAAGCAAAAGGAAGATGAAGATCAAAAGCTGGAGAATTTAATGCCAGTAAGTTGGTTTGGTAATTTCAGAAAGAGATTTGGCTTAAAAAAAGTCAACAGGAAAAGCAGCTTCTGCCAATCGAGAGGAAGTAGACAAGATCCCCAGATGCCATTCAGAAAGTCACTGAGGAAAAAGAATACATGCCTGCACAGGTTTTTAATGCAGATGAAAGTGTCCTATTCTGGGGGGGGAAAAATGCCACAAACAGCATTTATTACTAAGGAAGAGAAGTGAGCACTAGGACTTAAAGCAGGCAGGGATAGACAAACGGCACTGTTTCGTGCAAACGCAGTAGGTTTACGATCAGGACTGCCCTTATCTATAAAGCTGCTAATCCCTGAGCCTTGAGGGGCAAAGATAAACACCAACTGCCGTTTTTTGGTTGTCCATCAAGAAGGCCTGGATGAGAACCCTTTTTCTGGAAAAGAAAGGGAAATAGTAACAAGAAAACATATGAAAGTACAAATCTCACTGGAAAGATAAATATAGAGTAAAGGTAAGTGATTAATCACTTACAAAACTGGCATAAAGGTTAAAAGACAAGATTAGTAAAAATAACTACAATAACTAAGAGATACACAAGACAAAAAGGTGTAAATTATGACATCAAAACATAAAGCACGGGGATGAGGGTAAATATTTAGAGCTTTAGAATGCTTTTCAAACTTATGTTGTTATCAACTTAAAATAGACTTATAAATATGTAAGCCTCATGCTAACCATAAAACAAAAACCTATAGCATAAAAGATAATGATAAAGAAATCTAAGCATAACAATAAAGAAAGCCATCAAACCACAAAGGAGGAAAGCAAGAGGAGAAAAAAGGAACTACAAAACAGCCAGAAAACAATTAACAAAAATGGCAATAAGCACATACCTATCAATAATCAGTGTACATGCAAATACAGAAAATTCTCCAATTAAAAGACATGGAATGGTTGAATAGATTAAAAAAAAAAAAAAGCAAGATCTATACGCTGCTACAAGAGATTCAACTTCAGACATAAGGACACAAACAGACTGAAAGTGAAGTCTGAGAAAAGATATTCCAAGCAAATGACAACCAAAGCAAAGTGGGCGTGGCTATACTTGTAACAGACAAAACAGACTTAAAATAAAGACTGTATAAAAGCCAAAGAAGGGGCGCCTGGGTGGCTCAGTCGTTAAGCATCTGCCTTCGGCTCAGGTCATGAACCCAGGGTCCTGGGATCAAGCCCCACATCGGGCTCCCTGCTCAGCGCGAAGCCTGCTTCTCCCTCTCCCACTCCCCCTGCTTGTGTTCCCTCTCTCACTGTCTCTCTGTCAAATAAATAAAAAATCTTAAAAAAAAAAAAGCATTACATAATGATAAAAAATGATAAAAAAAAAAAGTCCACCCAACAGAAGATATAACATTTATAAATATTTATGCACCCAACATAGGAACAAATAAATATATAAAGCACATCTCAACAAACCTGAAGGGAGAAAAAAACATCAGTAGAGTAACAGCAGGGGACTTAAATATTCTACTTTCATCAAATCAATAAGGAAATATCACCTTAAACTATGTATCAGACCAGATGGACTTAACAGATATATACAGCAAAAGCAACAGAATATACTTTCTTCTCATGTCAACATGGAAATTCTCCAGGATAGATCATATTTTAGACCACAGGAAAAGTCTTAGTAAATTTAAGAAGACTGAAATCACATCAAGCACCTTTTCTAACCACAATGGTATGAAACTAGAAATCAATGACAAGAAAACTTGAAAATTCACAAATACTTTGGAAATTAAACAACATGCTACTTGGCAACCAATGGGTCAACCAAGAAATCAAGAGAAATCAGAAAATACCTTGAGACAAATGAGAAGAAAAATACAGTATACCAAAACTTATGGGATACAGCAAAAGCAGTTCTAAAACAGAAGGTCATTATGATAAATGCCTATATCAAGAAACAAGATACATCTCAAATAATCTAACTTTATACCTCAAAGAACTACAAAAAGAACACATGAAGGATAAAGTTAGTAGAAGGAAGGAAAAAAACAAAGATCAGAGAATAATGAAATAGGTAATAAAAAGACAATAGAAAATATCAATGAAACCAAGAGCTGGTTCTTTGAAAGATAAACAAAATTGACAAACAGGTAGCTAAAGTCACCAAGGAAAAAAAGAGAGAACTCAAAATCAGAAATGAAAGAAGAGATGTTACAACTGATACTACAGAAATACAAAAGATCATAAGAAACTACTATGAATAATTATACACCAACAAACTGCACAACCCAGAAGAAATGGACAAATTCCTAGAAACATACAACTTTCCAAGACTGAGAAAGAAACAAAATTTGAAAAGAAGATTTAATCAGTGATGATAACCTCCCCACCTGGGCGGCTCAGTCGATGAAGCATCTGCCTTTGGCTCAGGTCATGATCCTGGGGTCCTGGGATCGAGTCCCACATAGGGCTCCCTGCTCAGTGGGGAGTCTGCTTGTTAATATGTCCATACTACTCAAAGCAATCTACGGATTCAAAATCCCTATCAAAATTTCAGTGGCATTTTTCACAGAAATACGAGTTAATTTTTGTGTGTGGTGTAGGATAGTTGTCCAGTTTCATTCTTTTGCATGTGCCTGTCCAGTTTTCCTAATACGATTTACTGAAGAGACTATCCTTTCCCCACTGTATATTCTTGGCTCCTTTGTCGTAAATTAATTGACCATATGTGTGTGGGTTTATTTCTGGAGTCTCCATTCTGTTCCACTGAGCTATGTGTTTGTTTTTATGCCAGTGCCATACTGTTTTGATTACCATAACATAGTAATATAGTTTGAAATTAGGGAGTGTGATGCCTCTAGCTTTGTTCTTTTTTTTCTCAAGATTGCTTTGGCTATTTGGTCTTTTGTGGTTCCATATAAATATTAGGATCAGGGTTTATATCCAAAATACATTAAAAAAAATCCTACAACTCAATAGCAAAAAAAAAATCCAATTAAAAATGAGAAGAGGATCTAAATATACAGTTTTCAAAGAAGACATACAGATGGACAACAGGTATATGAAAAGGTACTCAACAACATTTATTAAGTAAATGCAAGTCAAAACAATAATTAGATATAACCTCACCTCTTTAGAATGGCTAGTATCAAAAAGACAAATAACAAGTGCTGGTTAAGATGTAGAAAAAAGGGAACACTTGTGCACTGTTGGGAATTTAATTGGTACAGCCACTATGGAAAACAGTAAGAAAACTTCTCAAAAAATTTAAAATAGAACTACCATATGATTCAGAAATTCTACTTCTGGGTATTTATCTGAAGAAAACAAAAGCACTAATTTGAAAATATAGATGCACCCCCATTTTCAGCATTATTTACAATAGCCAAGAAATAGAAACAACCTAAATGTCCACTGACGGATGGATGGGTAAAGAAAATATGGTATATATACACAATGTAATATTATTCAGACATTAAAAAAAAAGAAATTCTGCCATTTGTAACAACATAGATATGAACTTTGAGAGCATTATGCTAAC